TACAGCTTTTTTTCTTTATAGCTTTTTAAGCAGTGTAATATAGTGGTTAAAAAGGTGAGTCCTAAAGCTAGAGTTAGAATACTGGCTCTACCCTTCACTCTTTGAATGACCTTGGGAAAGTTACCTAAATTTGCTGTGGCTCAGTTTCCTCATCTATCAAACATGATAGGTGTATTGGGAGGATTTAAAATAACATATACATGTAAAGCACTTTGTATAGTATTTAGCACAAAGTGAGAGGTCAATAGAAATATTATTATAAATTCCTTTTTAAAAAAATTAACCCTCAGAAAGTAAGGCTAGTAAATATTAATTTTTGGAGTATTAATACCTCAGTCACAACATGGTAAGTTATAATATTTTCAATAGCACTTTTTTGGTTAATAAACATTTTCATATACTTAATATAATTTGATTCTCATAACTCTCAATGATAATATGGCATATTATGCCCAAGTTCAGAGAGGTTAAGTGTCTTTTCCTATGTCTCACAGCTCATAAGTGAAAGGGACGGATCTATCTGGTTTCCCATTCCAAGTTCAGGATATTTTTTTCAACACTGTCATATTGTTCAGAGAAAAACAATATGACATTCTGATAGATTCCAGTAATTAATTGATGGACCATTTTGTTACATATTTGGCCATGATGGAGAGTTTTTAGGAACTGTAAAATCATATGACCTCTCTCCAAAACAATCATTCCTCCCAATATGGCTGGTGAATATTATGGCTGTTTCAACCAGCTCTCACCTTTAAGTGAGTTATTTCAATTTCTGAGCAAATGCTTTTAACCTTTCTACTCTTTGGAGTAGGTTGTAAGTTAGCTTCTCTGAGCTTTCTTTGGAGGACTTTGGGGACAGAAGCCAAAACTTTAGAACCATAATAACTTAACTTTCACTGTTCTCTACCCATTCCCAAAGACTCGGGTGAAAACGGGGGAAATATTTCCCAATTAGTGAAGTATACAATAGGTAGGCATTGTTTTTTGTCTGTGTAGAAATGGGGCTTAAATAAGCAGTCAGATTCTCTTGCAAGAGCCATGATTTATTTAAAGGAGAAATTCAGTGGAAAGTCTGTCGAAGAAAAAAAACTAAATATGTATGAAAATTATAAATTATTTAACATCACTTCACAATGCTTTCTGCTTAAGTTTTGGGGATGGGAAAGAGGCTTTCTAAAAGCCAGGCTTTCCGCCCTGGCCAGTTTGGCTCAGCAGTTGGAATGTTGGCCTGAGGACCAGAGAGCCCTGAGTTCGGTTCCCGCTAGGGGCACGTAACAAAACAAAAAAAAAGAATATGTAAAAGCCAGGCTTTCCAATTCCATTTGCCAGATGCCTTGTAAGTGGCTCAAAATATATAACTGCAAATTATTCTAACATTCCAGTCAAGACTTAACTGTCTTTACTTAAGTAGTTCGCCTTTGGTTCAAGCAAATGAATAGATTCTAAATACTCTGATTTGGGCAAAAAATATTATTTATAATGTAATAAACCTAAAAGCATATTTATGAGTTTGTGAATCAAAGAACCATTTTGTCCTGCCCTCACTTCCTGGTTATTGGTTCTCTCCAGTAGTAGTACTGATGAAAACCATGATTACAGATAGCCAGTGGAACAGGGAAGTATAGGTACATTAAACATGCCCAACGAGTAGTTTTTGTCTTCTTTCTGCTTACATGGCTTGAAATTAAATGTGGGAAAGATACATACTAATTTTTTGTTGTTGTTGTTGTTAAGGTGAGTATATTTTCCATTAATTTTTAGATAGAGTAGAAGAGAGGAAAAAGGGGGAGCGAGAAGGAGAGAGAAAGAGAGAGAGAGAGAGAGAGAAACATTGATGTGAGAGAGACACATGGATTGGTTGCCTCCCGCACGACCCTGACCAGGGCTGGGGATTAACCTGCAACCCAGGCACATGCCTTTGACTGGGAATTGAACCCAAGACCCTTTGGTATATGGACCAACCATCTAACCACTGAGCCAAACTAACCAGTGCAATACATATTAATTTTTAAGTGGTGTTTAAAATTTGCCCTGGTTATGTTTTTTGCCTGATATCAACCCCTTCCACTTTTCAATTTAGGTTGCTATTTTTTAATTTTATTTTTAGCAGTAGAATAAGAAGGACAGATAGGAAACTAATGAGAAACTACAACAAATGAATTTCTGCCTCTAGAGAGGTTTGCTAAACCTTGCACTCTGGGTTCTCCAAAGGTACACATTCTCCTGTTAACTCTGAGGAGCTAGAATTTAATTTATACTGCCCTCCTTCTTTGCACAAAGAAGCTACAGAAAGTCACCTGGAGGTTACTGAGACATGAGGTTGAGATTGAAACATCTTTTTCCAAAAGTCAAGTTAGATGAATAATTAAGATGTGAGAGTTGGGAGAAAATTGTTATGGAAGGAAAATGATTTATATATATATTTTAAATCCTTACCTGAGGATATTTTTCCATTGATTTTCAGATCGAGTCGGAGGGAGGGAGAGAGGGTGGAAGGGAGAAAGGGAGAGAGAGAAACATCAATGTAAGAGAAACACATCAATTTGTTGCCTCCCATACAATTCCAACCAGGGCCAGAGATCCAACTGCAACAGAGATACGTGCCCTTGACAAATTGAACCCAAGACTCTTTGGTCTGCAGGTCAGTACTCTAACCACTGAGCCAAACCAGCCAGGGCTGGAAGGAAAATGATTTAAATGGATTTGTCTTTAATTTCCTTTCTCCCACTTTTCTATAACTTAGCTTATACATTCCTTTTGGAATTACTTTACTTCTATCTGTACCCATCAAAAAGTATTAAAGTATTATCATTCCTGTAAGGTCTCACTTAAATAGTACCTTCTCAGTGAAGACCCTCTGAATCCTTGCTCACATCTAATTATATTTTCTCTGTTCTATATTTCCAAAGCATTTTTATATCTGCTATATTTATCAAAATCTACCTTGTAAAATGAAAATGTCTGTGTGTGTCTGACTTCACCATTATTGTGGTCTTAGTATCTATCACAGTGTAATGTGATATCCTGGCACATACATAAAAGTCAATAAATGCATATTAAATTAGAATGATTGCTAATCTTATATCTTCTTGAGCACTAGAGACTGGACATGTCAATAAAAACCTTTAGCCCTGGCCAGTTTGGCTCAGCAGTTAGAGCGTCAGCCTGCAGTCCATAGAGACCCAGGTTCGGTTCCCGCTAAGGGCATGTACCTCAGTTGCAGTTTGTCTCCGGCCCTGGTTGGGTTGTGCAGGAGGCAGCCACTCCGTGTGTCCCTTTCACTTCACATCAATGTTTCTCTCTCTCCCTCCCACTCTCTCTGAACAAAAATGGGAAAATGTCCTCAGATGAGGATTGGAAAAAAAAAAAACCTTTAGAGGCTTGTCTTGGCTGGTTCGGCTCAGCAGTTGGAGTGTCGGCCCGCGGATCAGAGAGCCCGGGTTCGGTTCCTGCTAAGGGCACGTACCTCGGTTGCAGTTCGTCCCCGGCCCCGGTTGGGGTCATATGGGTGGCAACCAGTCAATGTGTCTCTCTCACATCGATGTTTCTCTCTCTCTCTTCCTTCCACTCTATCTGAAGATAAAAATGCAAAAAAAAAAAAAAGCTTTAGAGGCTTAGGAGGTTTTAAAGAAATAGGAATTTCAGAAAGGGACGTGAAAGGGGGACCTCTGGATTAACTACATTGAAGTAGAGAAGATTTTGGAAAAGAGAAAAGGTTTTGGAAAAAAGAAAAATAAGCTCTATTACTTGCTCTGCATTCTCTCCCTCGCCCCCTCCTCAAGGAAAAGGGTGCCCCCCTCCCTTCTTTCTACGACCAAATCCTGCATTTTTCCTCTGGATCACATTCTCTTCTACCTCTTCAGAAACTTAAATCCATCTTTTATTCCTTCTGTACCTGCTTCTTCAACGTCTTCTTCCCTACTCAACTATCTCATGTCATTACACAAGAGTCTTTCTAACTTAGGGCTGAATATTATTTCATTGTGAAAATGAATCATAATTTAACCTACGGGTAGACATTTATAGTTTCCAATTTCTTACTATTATAAACAGTGCTTGATTAAATAACTTATGTTTTTGTTGTTTTATACATGCCAGTGTTTCTATAGGATAAATGGATACAAGTAGAATTGCTGAAGCAAAATGCTGGAGGGGTTCTACCAATATATGCATTTTCCAGCAGCATATGAGATTGGTTCTTTACATTGTCACTAATACATAGTGTTATCAAAATCAAATTTGTGCTTAGTCTTTGCCAGTCTAATAGATTAAGAATATTTAATAGTTTTAGTTATTCATGGATGAGGTTAAACATTCTTATTATATTGTTGTATATGTGTATGTGTAAATTGTTTGTCCTTGTCTTTTGCCCATTTTCTCACTGTGCTTTTGGTTACTTAAATTCTAGTATAGATCAGAGTCTCTGTCTAGTTCTTTGTTCTGTTTGAGTTATCTGACAGATTTTGCACCAGTACCTGTATAAAGCTATTGTAATTTAATTCACCTTTTAATATCTGTAGAACAGCCCTGGCCGGTTTGGCTCAGCGGTTAGAGCGTCGGCCTGCGGTCTGGAGAGACCCGGGTTCGGTTCCCGCTAAGGGCACGTACTTCGGTTGCAGTTTGTCCCCGGCCCTGGTTGGTCGTGCGGGTGGCAGCCACTCGATGTATCCCTTCACGTCGATGTTTCTCTCTCTCTCTCCCTTCCTCTCTCTCCCTCCCACTCTATCTGTACAAAAAATGGAAAAATATCCTCGGGTGAGGATAAAAAAAAAAAAAATAATAATAATAATAAAAGAAGAAGATACAACTTGAACAACAAAATAATTAGTCTTGATTTATAACCCAAAGAAAAGAGAAAAATCCATGAGTCTATGCCAGAGATTTTCAACCTTGATTTCATTTCATGGCACACGTAAACTACTAAAATTCTGCAGAACACCAAAAAATATATTTTTTGCTTATCTGACCAAAAAATAGATATTGGTCTCTTGCTGCAGCAATGCCAGTGGGGTCCATTAACCTGATCAAGGAGAGAAGGCCGAGGACTGTTTTAAGAAAATGGCAGACAAGCCGGACATGGGGGAAGTTGCCAGCTTCGATAAGGTCAAGCTGAAGAAGACAAAGATGCAGGAGAAGAACACCCTGCCGACCAAAGAGACCATTGAACAGGAGAAGTAGAGTGAAATTTCCTAAGAACCTGGAGGATTCCCCACCCCCATCATCTTTGGGATCCCCGTCATGAGTGGAGAAAAAGCCACCCCACCTGCAAGATGGACACGAGCAACAAACTGCACTGTGAACCCGGATACTCTGTCCCCATGCCATCAGCCTGTGGGTCTCTAAGGGGACCCCCCCATACACCTCTAATCAGACTGACAAATTTTCCCATTTGCCCTGGGATACTGTAGAAAATTATTTGTATGATTAACGAAAATAAAACACACCTCGTGGCATGAAAAATAAATAGGTATAGTTTTGATTGATTTACAAAATAATAATAATAATAATAATAATAATTACCTACCCTTTTTGTTCCAAAGTGACTTTTTAAAAAATCAAGTACCACCCTGGCTGGTTTGGTTCAGCAGTTAGAGCATCAGCCCACGGACCTAAGAGTCTTGGGTTCGATTCCTGTCAAGGGCATATACTTCAGTTGCGGTTTGGTCCTTGGCCCTGGTCAGGATTGTGCAGGAGGCAACCAGTCGATGTGTCCCTCTCACATTGATGTTTCTCTCTCTCTCTCCCTCCCTCCCACTCTATCTGAAGATAAATAGAAAAACATCCACAGATGAGGATTAAAAATAAATAAATACATACATAAATAAATACATAAATTAAAAATAAAGTGTCTATTCTTCTATATAAGGATTTCTGGTACCAAGAATTAACCTGAGGGTATTATTCCATTGATTGTTTTTTCAAAGGGGAACTGGAAGGGAGAAAGGGAGGGAGGGAGAGAGAAAGAGAGAGAGAGAGAAACATCGATTTGAGAAAGACACATCAATTGGCTGTCTCCCGCACGACCCCAACCAGGACCGGGGATCAAACCCAAAACCCAGGTACGTGCCCCTGACTGGAATCAAATCCATGACCCTTTGTTCTGTGGGCTGATACTCCAACTGCTGAGTCAAACTGGCCAGGGCAGATACAACCTTCTTATGCAACATGACCAGTAAGATGCAACTGTGTTTTGTGACCTATATGTCTATGGTTCAAGACAGGCATTCACACCAGATGGTTGTTGTAGTGTTGACTGTTATGACAATCCAAGGGAAAAGAAGTCAGTGCTCCTGACTAAATAGTCAGGTATTGCATGTTTTAAAAATTCTTGCAGCACACCACTTGAAATTTGCTGATATACTAATATTAATAAATTAATAAACAAAGAAATAGGTCAAGGAGAGAAGTGACAAGTCTTCCTTTAAGAATTACAGTTATGTCCTGGCCAGTTTGGCTCAGCGATTAGAGCGTCAGCCTGTAGTCCAGAGAGACCCGGGTTCAGTTCCCACTAAGGGCACATACCTCGGTTGCAGTTTGTCCCCAGCCCTGGTTGGGTTGTGCGGGTGGCAGCCACTCGATGTGTCTCTTTCACGTCGATGTTTCTCTCTCTCTCTCTCTCTCTCCCCACCGCCCCTCCCTCCCTCCCTCCCACTCTATCTGAGCAAAGAATGGAAAAATGTCCTCGGGTGAGGATAAAAAATATATATAAAAAAATAAAAGAATTACAGTTATAGCCCTGGCCAGTTTGCTCAGTGGTTAGAGCATTGGCCTGTGGTCCAGAGAGACCTGGGTTCGGTTCCCACTAAGGGCACGTACCTCGGTCGCAGTTTGTCCCCGGCCCTGGTTAGGTCGTGGGGGTGGCAACCACTCGATGTGTCCCTTTCACGTCAATGTTTCTCTCTCTTCCTCTCTCTCTCTCCTATTCTATCTGAACAAAAAATGTCTGGAAAAATGTCCTCGGGTGAGGATAAAAAAAAATTTCAGTTATAACCCTGGCTGGTTTGGCCCAGTGGTTGGAGCATTGGCCTGCAGACCAGAGAGTCCCAGGCGCGGTTCCTGCTAGGGGCATGTACCAAAAAAAAAAAAAAAGAATTCCAGTTATAGCCCGGCCGGTGTGGCTCAGTGGACTGAGTGTCATTTCAAGGACTGAGAGGTCCTGGTTCGATTCCCAGTCAGGGCGCATGCCTGGGTTGCAGGCTGGATCTCCAGTAGGGGGCGTGTAGGAGGCAGTCGATTGATGTTTCTTGCTCATAATAATGCTCTTTTCTACCTTCTTCTCTCTCTAAAAAAATCAATAAAAACATATTAAGGAAAAAGAATTCCAGTTATAAACATAGAAGAAATGTGGAGAATAGAAAATAATCATCAGGCCCTGACTGGTGTGGCTCAGTTGGTTGAGCATCATTACATGCACTGAAAGGTTGCTGGTTCCATTCCTGGTCAGGGCACATGCCCGGGTTTTAGGCTCAATCTCTTGTAGGGGGTGTGCAGGAGGCAGTTGATCAATGTTCTGCTCTCACATCAATGTTTTTCTCTCTCCCTCTTCCTTCCTCTCTCTCTAATAAAAAATCTTAAAAAAAAGAAAGAAAAGAAAAGAACCATCAGAATACCACAGTATTTGCTGCAGTAAGATCTACCAATGAAAGGGCCAAAGTTTAAACAGAAATAGTATATTTACGTAGTCTCAAAGTATCTCCCTCCCACCCACCAAATATTAAGTAATTACAAAGGAAAAATTAGTAATTTTATGGTGGCAAATCCTGGCAGGCATGATCTTGGCCAAGGGTTCAAAATTAACATCACCATACAGATCAACGTGTACTTTTTCCCCTCCCTGAACCCAATGTGTTTTTGACAAGAGAGAGTTACATAAAAATGTCATTTGGTTTTTATTTGGTTTATAATATTAGACATCTTCTCACCATAACTTTTTACATTGCTATAGTACTTAATAGTTCACAAAGCATTTTCACATATATATTATCTCTTTAATCTTCATAATAACTCTGTAATTATGATATTACCATGTGCATTTTGTAGTTGAAGAAACCAAAGCCTAGAAAGGATAATCCAAATTTCTTTCCCAATAAATGGTCTTAAAAGTACTAGGAACTATTATTGATATCAATAGCTCTAGGTAAATATAGAGAATATTAGACATTTTATATATACATATATAATATAAATATATGATAATAGATATACTATATATAACACATATTTCAGAATATATATCATAAAAAATATATATAATAGTTTATTCTACATAATGCTTCTCAAAGGTAAGAAAGCATGGGGGTTCAAAAGCCATACTGGAACATGTCTATATGGCATTAGGAGAAATAAACTGTATTCAGGATCTGGAAATTAAGTACTATGCATGATTCATTTTGAGCTTGGAAAATACAGGGAAAAAAAAATCTGAAATGCTTATGTCTGTCCATAAATAAGGTAAAGCAGATAAATGGGGTATTTAAATTTTACAGGTGCCAAGTAGTAGGTTGACTGTTTAAAACAGAATAATGAACTAAGAGTTATGGCTATCATTTTGTGTAGAGAGTATCATTAACTTATGAGTTAATTGAAAAATATTATTACTAAATTTTTCCTAGATAAATAATGATTTTGAAATTTCTATTAAAAGTTATCTGCTGCCCTGGCCGGTTTGGCTCAGTGGTTAGAGCGTCGGCCTGTGGTCCAGAGAGTCCTGGGTCCGGTTCCCGCTAAGGGAGCGTACCTCGGTTGCAGTTTGTCCCTGGCCCTGGCTGGTCGTGCGGGTGACAGCCACTCGATGTGTCCCTTTCACATTGAGGTTTCTCTCTCTCTCTTCCTCTCTCTCCCTCCCACTCTATCTGAACAAAAAATGGAAAAATGTCCTTGGGTGAGGATAAAAAAAAAAGTTATTTGCTGCATTTTTCCCTAAAATTATCTCCTTCATTGGTGCTCCATTCTCTAGAACAAAAATGAAAAAAAAATTAATAATTACAGTCTTTCTTGAGAGAGTACTTTAAAACTTCATGTATAAGTGGCTGCAAACATTTAATGTGTAATTATAATGTGAGAATAAATTAATAACCTGAAAAAAAGATAATGTTCTTTTGTGATCATTCAGATCTGTTATTATACTGCTGGCCTGTTTATTCATATCCAGCTGGTACTGAGTCCTTGGTAATGTGATCAACAGTAAACCTGAAGTAGAGATGGAATAGATATGATTATTGTACTGTTTTCCAAATTTGGATACTAGTATCAAACTCTGGGTAGACGATAACCCTTTGTAGAAGTTACAAATACATAATTATTCTGTAATAATTTAATACTGTATTATGGTCTTAGCTGAAGTGAAGTCTTACTTATTTGATTAAACTTACTATCTATTTATTTATTTATTTATTTATTTATTTATTTATTTATTTTATCCTCACCTGAGGACATTTTTGCATTTATCCTCAGATAGAGCAGGAGGGAGAGAGGGGGAAAGAGAGAGAGAGAGAGAAACATTGATGTGAGAGACACACATTGACTTGTTGCCACCCAAACAACCCCAACCTGGGTGGGGACAAACTGCAACTGAGGTCCGTGCCCTTAGTGGGAACCAAACCTGGGACTCTCTGGTCCGCAGGCCGACGCTCTAACCGCTGAGCCAAACCAGCCAGGGAAAAGTTACTACCCTTATTTAAAAGAGATATTCAGGCCCTGGCCTGTTTGGCTCAGTGGTTGAGCATTGGCTTGCGGACCAGAGAGTCCCGGGTTCGGTTACCACTAGGGGCACGTACCACCAAAAAAAATAATAAAAGAGATATTCAGCCTAGCCAGTGTAGCTCAGTGGATTGAGTGTCATCCCATAGACTGAGAGGTCCTGGTTTGATTCCCAGTCAGGGCACATGCCCTGGTTTTGGGCTCAATTCCTGATGCCAGGTGTGCAGGAGGCAGCTGATCAATGTTTCTCTCTCACATTGATATTTCTATCTCTTGTTCCCTTCTTCTCTCTGAAGAAAAAAAAAAATCAATAAAAACATATTAAAAAACAAAAGATATTCAAATTCTTCCCTTTCACTATTTTCAAAGTAATTCCCACATTTAGGTGGTTGAAGAATAGAGCCAGAAAAAGTATCTCTTAATTTCAGTATTAAGAATAGGGAGCCCTGGCTGATTTTGCTCAGTGGTTAGAGCATCGGCCCCACAGACCAGAGTCTCTGGTTTGATTCCCAGTCAGGGGCACACACCTCAATTGGGGGTTCTATCCCCAGCCCTGGTCAGGGTTGTGAGGGAGGCAACCAATCAATGTGTCTCTCTCTCACATCAATGTTCTCTCTATCTCTTTCTCTCTCTCTCTCTCCCTTCCTTCCATTCTATCTAAAAATCAATGGAAAAATATCCTCAGGTGAGGA